ACCGTTCGGCATTACACAAAAGTATTTAAAATGTTCGGATTTTGAATTTAAAACGATAAAAATCAAATGGGATTTTTTTCTTTCTGCTGTTGATTTTAAATATATAATTTTTCTGGCAACCATAGATGTGGATTTTTTCAACTACCATAGGAGTGGATTTTTATGTAGAATTTGCCATCCTTCCAAAAAGCCATGGGCGTGAATTTTTATATGTAACTTTTCCACCTACCAAAGGGCAAGGGAGGGGTGGAATTTTTAAATTTAATTTTGAGGTGTCGATATTTTCAATAGCATTTTCAGCTTCCCTATGAGCGTAGATTTATTTTTTAATCATTTGCAACAGACATGTATTTTGGTTTTTTTGCCAAGGATTAAAAAAAATAAGTCCCCAGCCTTCCAGAGGCTAATGAACGTTCAATCTTATTTTCAATATTTTTTTTTTTAATTTAAATAACAACAAAAATCAAAAGAAGAAATGAGAAAAAGTCCACAAAGAAGTCCACACAACCAAATAATGGATGTCGAAGAAAAAAGAAAATAAAAATGGCAAGAAGTTACGCGTTGTCTTTTGCTGGACAAACTGGATTTCTGCTCTGTTCTCAGCATTCAAACTTGTCTTATTCACGTTATGCCTGACTTCTTGTATTTTCTGCTCGCCTAAGTTCCAAAGATAGCCTCAAGCCTCGTTTTGTTCTTAAAGCTAATCTGTGCAGCAGCATCAGCGGCAACAGTTCGACGTTATTTCATATTCACATTGGACCACAACTACCATGACAACAACACCAACAACATGGACGGTAGGACAGACAGTGTGTACGCGGTTAAAAAAAGGATCCTGCTGCTCCAAGCCGTTTTGGCCACAATGAATAAAAATCTAAAAATTCACACACAACTGAAAAACAGAAACTTGTTTTTTTGACTGCGAGGCGGTTGTCCCTCCATTTGCTGTAAAGACCGGCCTCTGATTTTAAATTCTGGATTGTTGGCAGGCAGGCTTGCTGACTGACTGACGGCTTGGCTCTTAATGCTAAATTGCAATTTGGGGGACTAGATGGAACCGAAGCAGCAACGACATCATCCTCATCATCATCATGGACAGCGTTAACGACCATCCAACTGTGGCAGTTTTTTGTCGTTGCCCAGGCCAGAACCAGAGATCGTCATTAAGTCGTGTAATAAGCCAACAATGTGGCGTCTCTAAATATAACCATTCAAGGCTATCCATGACTCATGATGGGAACACAAGATAGACCGACAGACGGACGGACGGACGGACCAGAAAATAGACAATACAAACCGACACTCCAATAGGCATGCCTAGCAAATGGAGTACAGAAATTCCTTTGGGGGTTTGAGGATCAGTGTGATTTTTCTTCGCTTTTAAATACCAAAACTGGATTTCAATGGAAATGAAAAAAAGAAGAAGAAGAAAAAATGACTTTTGGACTTTTGATCTTTTCCGTAAAAAAAGAAAGAAAAAAAAAACATGCGAATAAATTGAAGAATGGAAATGACTGCGACTTCAAAACTTCTTTGGTGGCATTGAGGCAAATGCAAGGTAAAATGGATATAGAAGGTCCACTATATTTAAATAGTCTTTGGTAGGTTGAAAACAATTTATTTAAAAAATTCACGCATCTTTGGTAGATAGAAAAACAAAAATTATTTAAAAAAAATCTCCGCCATTTTGGTTCGTTGAGAAAATTATTTAAAAAATCGTAATTATTTAAAAAATCCAGCCTTTTTCAAGCTAATGTTGACGACCCCCGCAAAGGACCACGATCTGCGAATCTGCACTTGGAATGTGCACACGTTGTACAGCACAGGCGCAGTGTTCGCTTTAGCGGATGTACTCAAGAAGTACAAAGCCGATATTATGGCATTACAGGAAGTGCAATGGGAAGGGTTTGGCGTTAGTAAATCAGATGATTACGCCCTGTATTATAGCTGCCATGAAACGAGACATGAATTTGGCTGCGGATTTATGATTAATAGGAGAATAAAAGACCTCGTCTCCAGATTCACTCCAGTAGATGAGCGAATTGCTATAATCCGTATAAAAGCAAAGTTCTTCTACATCAGTCTTATTTGCGCCCATGCTCCGATCGAAGATAAAGATGAACATACCAAAGACATAGAAACAGCATATGACCGTTGCCCTGGCCATGACATTAAAATTCTGCTAGGAGATTTTAATGCAAAAAGTCGCAGGGGAAAATATCTTTGACCCCACCGTCGGAAAATTCAGCCTTCATGAAGAAACATCCGACAACGGCATGAGGTTGATTGACTTCGCGGCAGCAAAAAACATGGTAGTCAGCCTCACCCGATTCAAGCATCTCGATATACACAAGGTCACTTGGATTTCTCCTGATCGAACAACGAGAAATCAAATGGATCATGTTGTGATAGACGGAAGGCATTCATCCAGTTTTTTAGACGTTCGATCGATCCGAGGAGCGAATATCGATTCGGACCATGACCTTGTGGCAGCCAAGGTACGCAATCGTCTTAATGTAGTAGCAAAGGTGCGATCTAATGTAACACGGAAATTTGACGTCGAAATGCTGCAAACACAACAGATAGCAGAAGCCTACTCCGCTCAACTTACCCCACTGCTTGACGAAAGTACCCCTTATTCCGATAATAATATAGAAGCACAGTGGCAGAAATCCGTGGTACGATCAGGAGTGTCGTAATGCTAGTGATATGAAAAACGCAGCGTATAGGGCAACCCTGCGGACAGTAGCAACACGTAATGCGATGGAGAACTATCGGGAGAAAAGGAGAGAGGAGAAAGGCATTTTCAGAAAAAAGAAGGAAGAACAAGAAAAACGTGAGCGTCAGCAAATCGAGATGTACAGGAGTCAGAATGAAGTCCGAAAATTCTACCTACGGATAAAACTCGAAACCGAAGGCTTTGGTGCAGGCACATCCTCCTGTAGAGATAAAGAAGGAAACCTGGTGACAGATACAGACAGCGTGCTGAGGATCTGGAAGGAGCAGTTTGAAAAAACTTCTAGTATCAAATAGTAGCGGTAAAGAGGATACCCCAGAACCAAGTCAGAATAGCAATCAATCGGCTCAAGAACAACAAAGCAGCAGTTGCCGATGGGTTACAAGACGAACTATTCAAGACTGGTGGTCAGATGCCGGTAAGGAGCATGCACCAGCTGATTAGTATACTTTGGCTAGAAGAATGCATGCCCAATGATTGGAACCTCAGCGTCCTGTGTCCCGTGCACAAAAAAGGAGACAAGAGGATATGTTCCAACTATAGAGGAATAAGTCTCCTTTCCATCGCATATAATGTGCTATCCAGCGTGCTGTGTGAATGACTAAAGCCAATGGCATTATTGGACCATACCAGTGCGGCTTCAGATGTGGCAAATCCACTATTGACCAGATTTTCACTTCGCGCCAAATCCTGGAAAAAAAACCACGAAAAACACATCGACACATTCCATCTATTCGTCGACTATAAACCCGCATTCGAAAGCCCTATTCGTTCAGAGGTGTTTAAAGCCATGTCTCCGTTTGGCATTCCTGCAAAATTAATACGGCTATGCAGGATAACTTTAACTGGCACAAGATCAGTAGTTAATGTCGGAAAGGATCTCTCGGAGCCCTTTAATACCGAACGAGGATTCAAACAAGGTGACAGTTTGTCGTGTGACCGTTTTAACATCCTGCTGGAAAAGGTCATACGAGAGGCAAAAATGAACAGAAATGGCACTCGCCTACGCCGATGACATCGACATAATGGGTCGAGCCGCTCTCAGTGGTAACAGCCACCTTTGAACAAAACGAGAAGGAGTCTTCCAAAGTAGTCTGGCAGTAAACGGCGAGAAGACCAAGCTGATGGAATCAATGCGCAAGACGTCCAGTATACTCGGACCAACTGTGGAACTTGACAACTACAGCTTCGAGGTAGTCAAAGATTTTATATACCTTGGTACCGCCATAAACAAAAAATTAATGACATCAGTTTTGAAATTCGGAGAAGGATAGTGATGGCCAACAGATGTTACTATGGTCTGAGCAAACAACTCAAAAGCAAGGCCACCTCCCGTCAGACCAAACTCACACATTATAAGACGCTAATACTACCCGTGCTGTTATATGGATCTGATGCATGGGTGGCTGCGCAAGCAGTTGAGACAGATTTTGAAGTGTTTGAGAGAAAAATTCTCCGAAAGGTTTATGGGCCGATCTGAGTTTACGGTGAATATCGCCGTCGAATGAACCATGAGTTGTACCAGTTATTCTCGGACATTGACATTGTTAGACATATTGAGCTGCAGCGACTACGTTGGCATGTTGTGAGAATGGATGAAGATGCCCAGAAGGCATATAAAAGCGAACCAGCTGATGGTTCACGCAGAAGGGGAAGGCCACGAATAAGCTGGAAAGATCAAGTGGAAGATAACATTACCGAATATGGTCTTTCAAATTGGAAAAACTGCGCAAAAGACCGACACGTCTGGAAATCTTTTTTAAGCTCGGCTTATGGAACGAAAGTTCTGTCACAAGCCAGCTAAGTAAGTAAGTAAGCCTTTTCAAAATTGAAAAAATCATTTAAAAATCCACGCCTTTTTAAAAATTAAAAAAAATGTTTTTAAAGATTAGAAAAAAAAATATTTAAAAAATCCACGCCTTTTTTAAAGATTGAAAAGAAAATGGTTTAAGAAATCCACGCATTTTTTTAAGATTAAAAAAAAAAATAAAAAAAAATTCTCGACTTTTTTAAAAAGGGAAGAAAAATATATAAAAAATCCACGCCTTTTTAAACTCCTATGGACAATTAAAAAACAAAATATACGGCAACTCCATCCATTATTTTGACATTTACAACCAAAAACGAAATTTTTAGTAAAAATAAAACCAACAAAAAATATGTTTATAAAAATTCCAAATAATTTCAATTTTTTCTTTGGCAATGAATTAACAAAATATTCGAAATTGTATCCAAAATTTCAAAATTCTTCGCACTTCAAATTTCAACGGCAAAATCATCAATGGAAACGTCAAATGGAGCTGAACCAACAGCGACGTAAAGTTATACCCAAATTGGTGTATTTAAATAATCCGTGGACTTATTTGGCGGCCAAATTCAATTTGCTGAAAATGCAATTGTTTTGGGATCGGGAATTTGTCGAACAGGAATTTATTAGAGGTGCTAAACAGGTAAATAAAAAAACTTAAGCAAAATAGTTTTGTCATTATTGTGACTGGTTAAATGAATCGGCAATTCACAATAGTACCAAAAGGTTATTGTCCTTGAATACCATATGGTGGTGGAATTATAACTTTGAGACCACTGCCAGCGAAGACAAAAACCATACATATTGCTTGGAACGCTGTACAACCGAATATATGAACTGAATGGAGACCGAATATTTTTAAAAAATCCACGCCTTGTGTTAAGGTCGGAAAAATATTTTTAAAAAATCCACGCCTTGTGTTAAGGTCGGAAAAATATTTTTAAAAAATCCACGCCTTGTGTTAAGGTCGGAAAAATATTTTTAAAAAATCCACGCCTTGTGTTAAGGTCGGAAAAATATTTTTAAAAAATCCACGCCTTGTGTTAAGGTCGGAAAAATATTTTTAAAAAATCCACGCCTTGTGTTAAGGTCGGAAAAATATTTTTAAAAAATCCACGCCTTGTGTTAAGGTCGGAAAAATATTTTTAAAAAATCCACGCCTTGTGTTAAGGTCAGAAAAATATTTTTAAAAAATCCACGCCTTGTGTTAAGGTCGGAAAAATATTTTTAAAAAATCCACGCCTTGTGTTAAGGTCGGAAAAATATTTTTAAAAAATCCACGCCTTGTGTTAAGGTCGGAAAAATATTTTTAAAAATTCCACGCCTTGTGTTAAGGTCGGAAAAATATTTTTAAAAAATCCACGCCTTGTGTTAAGGTCGGAACAATATTTTTAAAAAATCCACGCCTTGTGTTAAGGTCGGAAAAATATTTTTAAAAAATCCACGCCTTGTGTTACGGTCAGAAAAATATTTTTAAAAAATCCACGCCTTGTGTTAAGGTCGGAAAAATATTTTTAAAAAATCCACGCCTTGTGTTAAGGTCAGAAAAATATTTTTAAAAAATCCACGCCTTGTGTTAAGGTCGAAAAAATATTTTTAAAAAATCCACGCTTTAAAATATCCTCGACGATTGTGAGAGCTTGAAAAAAAAATATTTAAAAAAATGCAATTTTTGGGAGTCTAAATCTATTTTTAAAAAATAGACGCCCTAACAAATATATTTCAAAAATTCATATTGGAAAAATATATATGAAAAAATTCTCGTCTTTGGGGGTCTTTGAAAAAATATAATTTAAATAATTTTTATTTTCTAATTTTTGTTGCATACTTTCAGGCTGCTGTGGTCTTAACCGATATAATACGCAATCAAAATATATCGGGAATTAGTAAATTCACCACACCATTGGGCTATCAACAAATCACACGAGACATGCGTCTCTCAAGGGATGATGTGCGTTTGAAATTGGTGAGATTCCAGACGGAACATATTCGGAGGGCCATACCAATGAAGGTTGTGACCAGACTGAATTATGGTAAGAAATCCTCTAAAGGGGAGGAGAAATATAATATATTGTAATTTCTCTTTTTGAAAATAGGTAGAAAATATTGTTTCATAGATATGATGTTTGTGGGCCTTCGGAATACCAAAGATTTCGATAGCATTGAAGAACTTGTGGAGGTCAATCGAATATTACAATCTTTGGATGCTGAGGTGAGGATAACCCAGGAGGAGACCATCACAGCACCTCATCGCATTGTATTTGCTGAAATTTTCATACGATTTCGTCGTGATTGTTCGGCAGATTCTGATAGCTATTATTCACATCATTCCCAACGCTATGCCAATGATAAGGATTGGGCAGTGGGGTTTTATAAAATTCTCTCGTTTGATGTTTTCCATTATAATCCGAGGATTTAAAATTTATATTTATATTTTTTTTTGTATAATTTGTAAAACAAAATAAAGTGAAAATTTACAAATCTTTAAAATTTTGACACTTTGGTACCTCCTCGAGTACACACTGAACATGTAAGGTCTTTCGCAGGTCCTCAACATTATCGGTTTTACTGAGCGATTTAATTTTCTCTATGTAAATTGCATTCTCATGGAGTAATTCGTGTTTTTGTTTTTCCAATAGGATAGCCTGAGCCTCGGCTATGGCCTGACGTTGCCAAAAGTTACGCATCAATTCAATTTGCTGTTTTAAGTCGCCTTCATTTATATCGACATGAGATTGTAGATCCACAGTTTGTAGAGTGAAATCTTCCTGGGGAAAATTATCCGATTCTGTTTCACGAAAATCACCCCAAGGCACCACTTTTTCGGATTCGGTTTGAAGTTTTCGACAATTTGCCGCCAGCGATAATAGAAGTTCGCCATATTTTTGTAGTTGTTGGTATGACTGAAATGAAGTGAGAGAGGGAAAGAGACAAGAAGAGAGGGAGAGATAATGAATGAGGAAGATAATATGTAGAATTTTAGAGACTGAAGGAAACAAGCTTTTTCAGTCGGGTCCAGTTTTTGATATTATGGGAATTTCGATTTTCAGGGTATTATGTCTTTGTGCATATGTTTGTAGCAGGCAAAAGGAAACGAGATAGACACCTGGTTCCTTTTGAGGATATGCACAGAATCACTTTCTGAGTCGATTTATGCATGTCCGTCTTTCCGTCCGCCCGTCCATGTATTTTTGTACAAGTCACATTTATGATCCGATTTGGATGAAATTTGGCATAGGTTACTTATTTGGCCCAAGGACGAACCCTATTGAAATTGGGAAAAATCGGTTCAGATTTAGATATAGCTCCCATATATATTTTCGTCCGATTTAATGTAAATGGTGCACCGAAGTCCTTATATATCTTACGATTTTCACAAAATTTGGCACAGCGTAATGAATTAGGTCTGGAATGATGTGTGTTAAGTTTCCTGAAAATCGGTTCAGATTTAGATAAAGCTCCCATATATATTTTCGTCCGATTTAATGCATATGGTGCACCAAATTCCCTATATATCTCGATTGGCACGGAATATCTTTGTTTTTGCACGAAATTTAGCACAGCGTAATGGATTAGGTCTAGAATTATGTGTGTTAAGTTTCCTGAAAATCGGTTCAGATTTACATATATAGCTCCCATATATATTTTCATCCGATTTAATGTAAACGGTGTACCACAGTCTCTATATATTCCTCGATTGGCACGAAATTTGGCACAGCGTAATTAATTAGGTCTAGAATGATGTGTGTTAAGTTTCCTGAAAATCGGTTCAGATTTAGATATAGCTCCCATATATATTTTCGTCCGATTTAATGTATATGGTGCACCAAAGTCCTCATATATCTTTTGATTTGCTCGAAATTTGGCACAGCGTAATGAATTAGGCCTAGAGTGATGTGCGTTAAGTTTCCTGAAAATCGGTTCAGATTTAGATATAGCTCCAGTATATATTTTCGTCCGATTTAAGGTAAATGGTGTACCAAAGTCCCAATATATCTTTCGATTTGCACGAAATTTAGCACAGCGTAATGTATTAGGTCTAGAATGATGTGTGTTAAGTTTCCTGAAAATCGGTTCAGATTTAGATATAGCTCCAATATATATTTTCGTGACATTTAATGTAAATGTTCCAACAGGTTCCCTTAATATCTTTCGATTTGCACGAAATTTGACATGGCGTACCTAATTAAGTCTAGAACGATGAGTGTTAAATTTTGTGAAAATCGGTTCAGATTTAGATATAGCTCCCATATATATTTCCGTCCGATTTAATGTATATGGTGCACCAAAGTCCCTATATATCTTTCGATTTGCACGAAATGTGGCACAGCGTAATGAATTAGGTCTAGAATGATGTGTGTTAAGTTTCCTGAAAATCGGTTCAGATTTGGATATAGCCTCTATATACATATATTTTCGTCCGATTTAAGGTAAATGGTGTACCAAAGTCCCTTAATATCTTTCCTTTTGCACGAAATTTGGCACAAATTTGGTATAGAATGATGTGTGTTTAGTTTCAGGAAAATCGGTTCAGATTTAGAAATAGCTTCTATATCTGACCAAATGAAAAATTTAGTATCGGTTGCAAAATGATATGTTTATGGATCCAATTTTATTTTACTGGTCCTTTAAAAATTCGACGTCTATTAGGATTCGTCTGTTGAATATATCCAAAGTGGTGAAGGGTATCATGTAGTCGGCCCTGTCCGAATTTACTACTTTCCTTACTGGTTTTTTTAAATATTTTTTAAAAATATTTTTCTTATTTTTTTTATTATTTTTTAATTATTTTTTCAAATATATTTTTTTTAAATGTTTTTTTTTTCTTCTAATATTTCTCTTTCCCCTGTTGTGCTCACCTTCAAAATTCCATAACATTCTGTGGTCAATATTTTCAATTTTTCATGCATCTGCAAACCATCCGCGTGCATGCGGCTTTCAATATCCTTGCGTAAATCCGTGAAATATTTTTGTTCCAATTTTAATTCTTTGATTTTCAACTCGGCCTCAGCTTCCACTCTCCTCAGTTCCCCCTGTAGTTCCTCATTCTGTCTTGTAAATTGCGACTCCGTGTCATTCAACTTCTTCGATTCGCTGACAAATGTCCTTTGACGTTCCATTAATGTTCGGACCTTTAGATCCTTATGCGGATCCAAGGACGCATTATGTAGTGCTTCTAAAAACTCCAATAATTGTTTGTGTAATTTTTCCATTTTCTTTGCCACCGAATCACGTAAGTTGTAACGTTTTTCTATTTCATTATTGACCAGATCGTTACGTTTGTCCAGATAGATTTCGAAGTCTTCTTGTAGGGTTTGCGAGGTTGTGAGATTTGTGGCATGCAGAATATTTTCACAGTTCGCTTGATAAGCATTTACAATTTTTTTGCTTTCTTCAGTTTCGTTGAAGAAGTCGTGGAGTATTTCCCTTGCCTGATCTTCATAGTGAAGCCGGGTCACGTTTTGGAATAGCTTGAAAATAGCTGGGAAATAATTATAGAAAGTTTTCAAAATTGTTTAAATTTCAAACTAGATACAAAATTCAGTCTTAAAAAAGGCCTTAAAAAATATTCTTTAGAAACCTACGCCTCATATTAGCCTTGAAAAAATATTCTTTGAAAACCTACGCCTCATATAAGCCTCGAAATAAGGCCTTGCAAAAAATATTCTTTAAAAATCGACGCCTCATATTAGTCCTTGAAAAAATATTCTTTAAAAATCGAAGCCTCATATTAGGTCTTGAGCAAATATTCCTTAAAAATCTACGCTTCATATTAGGCCTTGAATAAATATTCTTTAAAAATCTACGCTTCATATTAGGCCTTGAAAAAATTTGCTTAAAAATCTACGCCTCATATTAGGCCTTGAGCAAATATTCTTTAAAGATCTACACCTCATATTAGGTCTTGAGAAAATATTCTTTTAAAATCTACGCCTCATATTAGGCCTTGAGCAAATATTCTTTAAAAATCTATTATTTTAAATATTCTATAAAAACCTACACTTCGGAATACTCCTAAATTATATTCTATAAAGGATCCACACTTCTGTTCCATCTTTTTGACATTTCGCACGAGACCCAAATACCTACCCTCTAAATAGTCCATGGTCTTCATTTGATTGCCAAAGTTCCGCTGATGCATTTCCTCAGTTTCGTTGATTTCCTTTAGAATTAAAGCAATTTTCTCATCCTTTTGTGTTAGGACCCGATTGGTCTTTACTTCCCAGGACTATGGAACAATAAATTGCTATATTAAAAAAATCGAAAAAGGATATCGGGACCCTTACCCTTAGTTCCTCTTTCATTTGTACCAACTTGATTTCCCTACACATATCCATCCACATTTTTTGATTCCGCAAAGAAGTTTTCTTGGACAAAGCCAGCTCTCGTTTCAAGTGGTCCTGGCAAAATTATACTTTACGTTGGTGGACATTTTTGGAACTCCAATTAAAATTTAATACATACAATCATTTCCAGTTTTCGAAATTCCATTTGAGCCTTTAGTTTTTGTTCCTTTTTCTCGGCTTTTGTCAGGCGTTTCTTTTTGGGTATTTGTGTGGTTGGTGGTTCCTCATCCTGTATATAGTCCACGTAGGTTACAGAGGGTTTTGGAAGGGCCATTTCTGCGAAAAAATATGTGTATTATGGGAAATAAAAATATTTCTTTTTGTGGAATATGACAATTTTATTTTTAAATATGCAATAGGTCTGTTCTATGCAAATTTAGAAAGTGAAATTTTTATTTTTATACCCTTCACCACACTGTGGTACAGGTAGATTAGGTCTTTGTGCATATGTTTGTAACAGGCAAAAGGAATCGAGATAGACCCATGGTTCCTTTTGAGAATATGCATAGAATCACTTTCTGAGTCAATTTACGCATGTCCGTCTGTCCGTCCGTCCATGTAGAAAGTACAGGTCGCACTTATAATCCGATTTGGATGAAATTTGGCACAGTTCACTTATTTGGCTCAAGAACCCTATTGAAATTGGTAAAAATCGGTTCAGATTTAGATATAGCTCCCATATATACATATTTTCGTCCGATTTAATGTAAATTGTGCACCAAAGTCCCTATATATCTTCCGATTTGCACGAAATTGGCATTGCGTATTGACTTGAGTCTATAATGGTGTGTGTTAAGTTTCCTGAAAATCGGTTCAGATTTAGATATAGCTCCCATATATATGTTCGACCGATTTAATGTAAAAGGTTCACCAAAGTCCCTATATATCTTCCGATTTGCACGAAATTTGCCACAGCGTACTGACTTGAGTATAGAATGACAAGGGTTAAGTTTCTTGAAAATCGGTTCAGATTTAGATATAGCTCCCATATATATGTTCGACCGATTTAATGTAAATGGTGCCCCAAAGTCCCTGTATATATTTCGATTTGCATAAAATTTTGCATGGCATACTGAATTGAGTCTAGAATGATGTGTGTTAAGTTTCTTGAAAATTGGTTCAGATTGAGATATAGCTTCCATATATATGTTCGCCCGATATAATGTAAATGGTGCACCAAAGTCCCTATACGTCTTTCGATTTGCACGAAATTTGGCATATCGCACTGAATTAAATCTAGAATGATGTGTGTTAAGCTTTTTTGAAAATCGGTTCAGATTTGAGATATAGCTCCCATATATATATATATATGTTCGACCGATTTAATGTACATGGTGCACCAAAGTCCCAATATATCTTTCGATTTGCAAGTAATTTGACACAGCGTACTGACTTGAGTCTAGAATGATGTGTGTAAAATTTCTTGAAAATCGGTTCAAATTTAGATGTAGCTCTCATATGTATATTTGACCGATTTAAGGTAAATGGTGTACCAAAGTCACTGTATATCTTTCGATTTGCACAAAATTTGGCATGGCGTACTGAATTGAGTGTAGAATGATGTGTGTGAAATTTCTTGAAAATCGGTTCAGATTTAGATATAGTTCCCACATATATGTTCGACCGATTTAATGTAAATGGTACACCAAAGTCCCTATATGTCTTTCGATTTCCATGAAATGTGGCATTGCGTATTAACTTGAGTCTAGAATGATGTGTGTTAAGTTTATTGAAAATCGGCTCAGATTGAGATATAGCTCCCATATATATGTTCGACCGATTTAATGTAAATGGTGCACCAAAGTCCCAATATATTTTTCTATTTGCGCTATATTTGGCACACCGTAATGAATTAGGTCTAGAATGATGTGTGTTAAGTTTCCTGTAAATCGGTTCAGATTTAGATATAGCTCCCATATTTAATTTCGTCCGATTTAATGTTATTGGTCCACCAAAGTCACATATTTTAGTTCATCCAATTTCATGTTATTGGCCCTTCTGTTAGTATGTATATTTTTAATATATAGTCATAGGGGTGAAGGCTATCATATAGTCTGTCCCGTCCGACTTTACTACGTTCCTTACTGGGTTTCTCTTCACATTATTTACGGATTCATTAACACGCCTGTAAATCTTAGTCTTAATTTAATATTTAGATTAACAGCTATTTCTAGAGAAGAAGGTGGAGAGAGGTTTTCTATGCGGGTAAGCTGTACGAGGCAATAACTGTTTGTATCTTGTCGATTTCATGTCCACGAGATAAGAACAATGAGTATTTTAATCAATGTAAATTCAAAATGTCGGAAGCATGACACGAGTATTCAATTTAAGTTAGAATTAATTTAGAACAGGAAATTCTTAAAGTCATTACTCTGGGAAGTGATGGCAATCAAGAAAACTTAAATTTTCCATAAAACTTTAGCTTTTTTCCAATCCACGCCTTGTATAGGCATTGAAAAAATATTCTTTAAAAAATCCACGCCTTGTATAGGCATTGAAAAAATATTCTTTAAAAAATCCACGCCTTGTATAGGCATTGAAAAAATATTCTTTAAAAAATCCACGCCTTGTATAGGCATTGAAAAAATATTCTTTAAAAAATCCACGCCTTGTATAGGCATTGAAAAAATATTCTTTAAAAAATCCACGCCTTGTATAGGCATTGAAAAAATATTCTTTAAAAAATCCACGCCTTGTATAGGCATTGAAAAAATATTCTTTAAAAAATCCACGCCTTGTATAGGCATTGAAAAAATATTCTTTAAAAAATCCACGCCTTGTATAGGCATTGAAAAAATATTCTTTAAAAAATCCACGCCTTGTATAGGCATTGAAAAAATATTCTTTAAAAAATCCACGCCTTGTATAGGCATTGAAAAAATATTCTTTAAAAAATCCACGCCTTGTATAGGCATTGAAAAAATATTCTTTAAAAAATCCACGCCTTGTATAGAAAAAAATATTCTTTAAAAAATCCACGCCTTGTATAGGCCTTGAAAAAATATTCTTTAAAAAATCCACGCCTTGTATAGGCCTTGTAAAAATATTCTTTAAAAAATCCACGCCTTGTATAGGCCTTGAAAAAATATTCTTTAAAAAATCCACGCCTTGTATAGGCCTTGAAAAAATATTCTTTAAAAAATCCACGCCTTGTTTAGAAAAAAATATCTTTACAAAATCCACGCCTTGTATAGGCATTGAAAAAATATTCTTTAAAAAATCCACGCCTTGTTTAGGCCTTGAAAAAATTCTTTAAAAAATTCACGCCCTGCATAGGCCTCGAAAAAATATTCTTTAAAAAATCCACGCCTACGTATACCTTGAAATTCTCGACCAGGGTCTGTCATTCGATCTTACGAAGCTAGAATAACCCTGTCCACCTGTGGTTTCCTGATAAATGTTTGGCGTTTACTTTTTATTATTTATTTTTTTGCCGATAATAGTTCGCCACCATAAAACACAAAATAACCGATCAATGTCGTCTAATCGGTGTTAAATCGAAAATTTGTATTTTCATTAGATTGCTACCGTATTATTAGCCACTACAACAGCAACAACAAAACAACACCCAAACAAAAGATAAACCACAAGACGATAATAAAATCAGCTCCGCCAGCAAAAAAAGTTGGGGAGCAAAGAAACACCTCAATGCATTTTCCAAACGACACTAAGAGAAGGCCTCACAGAGACAGATATAAAGTGACAACAACAACAGCAAAAAAGTTATCCCGGCAGCAGAGAAAAAAATTGTCGTACGATAAGCTTTAACCGTTTAACGTTACTTTTTTTTGCTTTGCTTCGGTTTTTTGTGTAATGATCAGCAATCGTAATAAGTGAAACCGAATTTCGACTAGTTGAAAATTTCGAAAACCCGCAACAGCTGCTGTTGGATTGTATGGAGTTTGACTGAGATTAGATGGCTGTGGTGGTGATGGCGATGACAGTAGCGGTAACGTCAGCGTTTTCTGAGGTATTGTTATTGTTGCGTGCGAAGCGTCGTAGCTGAGCTGCTCCGTTTTAATGGCAAAATTCAATTGCGACGCTGTCTTGCGACTCTTGCAATAAACGTTAATCGTTCGAATAGCCCAGCCAGGCAGTCAGCCAGCTAGCTATACAAGTCAGTCAGTGAGCGAGTCCATGTGCACAAGTAACGCACACTACAACTCTCAGTCGTTGACGGTGACTCGAAAGCTTAGGACGGTATTTGAAGCGAATACGAAAAAACCAAAACGGGAATTTAAAAAAAAAAAATCACAAGTGTTGGCTAAACAAGCGGTTTGTGCTCTAACGCGTACATCGTCAAATCAAAGGCAAGAAACCGCTAAGTTTCGAGAAAGTGTTTTTAGTTTTCAGGAACCTGTAGCCAACCATTCGCTAAGTAATATCAATCCCTCAAATAACTGATCGTCTAGAGCTAGAATTGCAGCAACAGTCTTTCAAGGTAAACAAGAAAACCGGAGTGGTAGAAAAAATGCACCAACGCCAGCACCAGTCATTGAGGATTTTTTTTTTTGTTGTTAAAAAACAATTAATAAAAAAAATAATTAACAAGTTCGGTTTATATGAAACTAAATGTTATAAACAAAATTAACATGAAATGTGGCTTAAAACCCAGAACAAGTGTTTCGTTAACTTTAAAGAACTCAAAACAAAAAATTGAATTATCCTCCAAAAAAATTAATGAAGAGGTCCTTGGATGTATTTTTTAATACAACCAAAGGCCATTTTGATGCAGATCGACCCCCACCTTAAAAAAATATTCTTTAAAAACTCCACGCCTCATATTAGGCCTTGAAAAAAATATTTTTTAAAAATCCAAGCCTCACATTAGGCCTTGAAAAAAATATTCTTTAAAAACTCCACGCCTCATATTAGGCCTTGAAAAAAATATTCTTTAAAAAATCCACGCCTCATATTAGGCCTTGAAAAAAATATTCTTTAAAAAATCCACGCCTCATAATAGGCCTTGAAAAAAATATTCTTTAAAAAATCCACGCCTCATAATAGGCCCTGAAAAAAATATTCTTTAAAAAATCCACGCCTCATATTAGGCCTTGAAAAAAATATTCCTTAAAAAATCCACGCCTCATATTAGGCCTTGAAAAAAAATATTCTTTAAAAAATCCACGCCTCATATTAGGCCTTGAAAAAATATTCCTTAAAAAATCCACGCCTCATATTAGGCCTTGAAAAAATATTTTTTAAAAAATCCACGCCTCATTTTAGGCCTTGAAAAAATATTCTTTAAAAACTCCACGCCTCATATTAGGTCTT